AAGTCGGAGGGGGACCCCCTCTGCCGCCCGCTGATTAAAGGGGTCCACATGGGGCTGCTTCCACGCGCAGCCCCCTGCAATCGTTACAGTCGTTCCGGCTTGGGGCAGCTCCCCCCCCCCCCCTCCCCCACCACACCCATACCCTCTATCCCCCTCGGCCCCTGCCCAAAGGTCGTCTCGCTGATCACGCCCCGCCAGCGGAGGCACGCCGAGGCCTTGCAGGCGGCCGACCACACACGCCCGGACCCTACCCTCACCGCTTCCCGCCGCGCTTGCTCACCCCTCGCCGCGGCCGGCAGGCGGCGCTCTCGAAGAAGGCGCAGATACACGCGGTCGACTACTCGGGCCGGCTCACCACAACCACCCTGAGCCACTTCGACGAACGGCCGAAGCAGGCCAGACGGAGCGCCTCGCGGCCTCGCGGCGGCGGCGGGCGGCGACTCGGACTTGCCGCCCTGTAGGAGCGCGACAGTACTGTTTGTATTTTGTTCATGATCTCATGTGTATACCAAAAAATGCAGTTAAGGTATATGCAATATGCGCACCGATAGTCGAATAAAATATGTGTTGCCCCGTCCTGCCGCGCCCTGGCTGCCCGTGTGCGTCGGTGTCCGGGCGTGGAGATGCATCATGCAAGGGTCGCCCCCCCTTGCCCCACCACTTTGTGTGTGTGGAGACGTTTACCTTACCTTACCTTACTTACCCCGTCCTACCACACCCACACCCCACGCGCGAACCGTGGCAAGATCACTTACTTGTCATATGGTCACTGTGGTCAGTCCACCTTGACGGAGCCGAATATGGTCCAGACAAACCACCAGCACGCCAGGAAGCCGACGGTCCCGGTGATGAGGAAGAATAGTAGAGAGGCGAGGGCCATGTAGCCGACGTAGAGCAGAAGCGGCACAAAGCCGCTGATCTCGAGCTGCGTGCAATAGTAGATGCCCGAGTAGGCGAGCAGGTAGAGTCCAGCGGCACCCGAGTTGAGGAAGGCTCGCCACCACCACGCGTGGTCCTCGGCACAGAGCTGGAAATAGCAGAGCACGATCGAAATCTCGGCGCAAGTGATGACGAGCAGCAGCAGGACGAGGGCGAGGAAGCCAAAGACGTAGTAGAAGCGCTGCGCGCGAGACAGTGGGGCTCAACAGTCTCGGCTCAACAGTCTCGGCCAATCTCGGCCCAATCTCGCCTGCAGCCAGACTGACGTCATGATGAAGAAGAGCTCGATGAAGACGGCGCCTAGCTCGCGCCGAGCTGTGAGCCTCGGATCTCAGGGGTGCCGATGAGCTCGCTCAAGCCGCGGCGCCAAAGGGCAGAACGCCACCAACCGCCATCGTGACGGCGCGGCCCAACAACCACCCCTGCGGAGGGATCTGCCGCGGGATCTCGTTTGTGCGCGTTGGCGGGGCGGGCAGCGGCCGCTTGAAGCCGAGGAAGGCGCCGACGAAGACGAGCGGCAGCGAGACGCAGAACCACATGGCGAGGAGCGCGACGAAGGTGCCGGCGGGCACGGCGCCGGTCGAGCCGTGCGACCAGAGGGCGAGGTTGAGCAGCCTACGCGGGCACGCCGTGGGCAGGTCGAGGACGAGTCCCGGACGCGGCGGCCAGGGGCGAGAGTGGAGAGGCGTGAAGACGACGAAGATGGCGGCGGGGTAGGCGGTGGCGGTGAGCAGCGTGAGCGCTCTCCATTCGACGCCGCGCAGGGACTTGAAGGTGCGCGAGGCGCCGTAGCCGGCGGGCACGCCCATCAGGACGAAGAGCAGCAGCGTGGCGGTGAGCAGGCCTCCCCGGTTGGCGGGCGAGAGGAAGCCAAGCAGCGCGCCTACTCGGCGGCGAGCCAGCGGTCTGCCCGCCAACCGGGCGGAACGCGAGACGAGTCGGAGCGGCGCGCAAGCGATCGAGATGAAGGACATGCAGAGCAGCTGCACGCCCGTCCCTAGGGGCAGCGAGCTGATGGACTGATCACCCACGAAGCGCATCACGCATGCCCAGTTGGACTCGTGCCGACGGAGACCGAGAGCAGCAGCGGCCGCGGCGGAGGCCGGAGCACGTCTGCGTGCACCAGCTTCCAGCCAGACTCCTCGAGCAGCTCCTACAGCCGAGGTCCAGCCGAGGTCCAGGCCCGCCCAGCCGAGCTTCCGGCCAGACGAGCTCGCTGCTCCTCCCGCTCGTCCGCGACGTCGGAGAGCGAGTTGTACCTGCGCAGTCGGGCAGTCTAGTCTGTCGACTGGGCACCGCGAGAGGTGGAGAGCGAGTTGTACCTGCGCAGTCGGGCAGTCTAGTCTGTCGACTGGGCACCGCGAGAGGTGGAGAGCGAGTCGCGCCTGTTGAGGTCTCGCCGCAGCGTGCGTGCCATGATCATCGCGACGACGCCCGTGAGCAGCAGCACGACCGCGAGCGAGTTGACGAGCGAGATCCAGTGCACCTGGGACGTGTCGTGGACGTGTCGTGGGCGTGTCCCGCAGAACGAGCGGGGCCCGACCTGGCGCCTGGTCGTCGCCCATGTAGAGGTACAGGTCCCACCGCGACGCCCACCGGACGGGCGACTCCTCCCAGGTGACCTGACTCGCCAATGGAACACTCGATCATCAGCCAGCCAGTCGGTGAGACCGCGCCATCGACCCTCCCGCGCTCTGCCTCGTACGTGAAGATGACCTCGCACCCGCCGGCGGCCGACCCGCCGCCCTGCCTCCGCCGGCACCTAACCCGTCCACCCGTCAACTGACACGAGTGAGATCGGCGCCCGATCGACCCGCCTCAGCCGGCACCTGTGCTCCGCGCGCACCGGCTGCGGTGGCAGGTCGGGCGAGAGCGGCACCGTCGCCAGTTTGGTCGCGACGCCTCGCCACTCGCCCTCGTACCTAGCGCAGTGATCTCGGGGCGATCTCGGGGCGATCTCGGTTGATCTCGACCTCGCCACTCGCCCTCGTACCTGTGTGCGACCGAGAGGGCCTCCACCTCGAAGCCGACGATCCGCGAGCCCTGGAAGAGGTCGGGCTCCTGGTGGTACCTAGTCGAGTCAGCCACCCGTCGAGTCCGTGGCCTGGTCTGTTGGTCCGCGCTGTCCGGCTCTTGGCGGCACTTGATGATCAGCCGTAAGTGGTTGTTGATGTACGGCGCGCTGGGAAAGGTGCCGGGAAACTCTGGCGAGCCGAGGAAGCCGAGCGGATAGCCGCGCTCGTAGGTGGTGAGAGCGATGCCGTCGGGCTGTTCCGTCAAAATCCGCGTCGCGGCGGGCAGGTTGTCCATGATCATCTGCACGCGGTAGTCCTGTGCGATCCTCGCGCCAAAGACGGCCGCGTCGTGTGCGGTCAGCTCCACCCGGCAGAGGACGCGGAACGCCGTCTTGCCCATCTGCAGCGCGAACGGCGAGTTCTGGATCTTGCTGCCGTGCAGGACCTCGCCGAGGTTCTCGGCTTTGGACTCGAGCGTCTCCGGCCGGCAATGTGGCAGTGCATAGTAGTCAAACGGCAGGTGAGTTCGAGGCGACGAGAGCTGATTTACTTTGATCTCGACCGCCTCACCGTCGAGGTACTCATGCGGAGCGACGCCGGGCAGGTAGAAGCCGAGCGTCGGCGGCGCTGCGAGCAGCAACGAGAGCCAGCGTGCGGCGTTCATCTCGCCGCCGAAAGCCCTCGAAGCCGACAGCGGTGAGGCTACGCGGTCTGCTCGCCCTGCGAACGGCGGGGCGAGAGCGGGTGAGGCGCATACACATACACGTCATCATCTCGATGGGAGCGGCGGCGTGAGGGAGCGCACTGCGCCAGTCTCGTTGACGTCGCAGCCCTCCTTCGACACGAGATGCTTCACGCGCTTGGCGTCGCGCGCGTGCCCGGGGGCAGTGCCTCGGAGATGAGGGGTCGGAGAGGGAGAAAAGAATTCGCACACCCGCATTTCACGGTCAGGCAACGCCGGGCTTTATCTTTCAAGAAAGGGGAGAAAGAAGAAAGAAACCATTTCACTGTGTGTATGCACCGCCGATCAGCCGTCTTCCCTCAGCCCGCCGCCTTCCCCACCAAGGTAGCCGAGTCCCGAGAGGCAGGCTTGGCTCACTCACGATTCCCCTCTTACTGGCCCGGCGCCCGCGCCTCGATCTTCTTGGGAAGCAGCTGGTTCGACAGGTCCTCTCCGTGGCCTAGGCGGCCGCTCTCGCCCTCGCCCCACGTGAAGACAGCGCCATCGGCGGTGCGGGCGAGGCTGTGCCGCTCTCCCGCCGACACAGCGACGACGCGCTGGCCAACAAGGGTCTCGATCTTCTTGGGCAGCTGCAGCTGGCCCTGCTGGCCGCCGTGGCCCAGTTGGCCAAAGGCTCCAAAGCCCCAGCTCCAGACGGCGCCGTCGGCGGTGAGGGCGAGGCTGTGGTATCCTCCAGCCGACACAGCGACGATACGCTGGTCAAAGGCGTCGATCTTCTTGGGCAACAGCTGGGCCTGCTGGTCGCCGTGGCCCAGCTTGCCAAAGGCTCCACCGCCCCAGCTCCAGACGGCGCCGTCGGCGGTGAGGGCGAGGCTGTGCTCGTCTGCGGCCGACACACCGATGACGCGCCGCCCCGCCAACAGCTCGATCTTCTTGGGCAGCAGCTGGTCCTGCAGGTCGCCGTGGCCCAGCTGGCCATAGCCTCCATCGCCCCAGCTCCAGACAGCGCCATCGGCGGTGAGGGCAAGGCTGTGGCAGCTTCCAGCCGACACGGCGACGACACGCTGGCCCGCCAAGGCTTCGATCTTCTTCGGCTGCCGCTGGGGCTGCTCGTAGCCGTGGCCCAACTTGCCAAAGGCTCCACCGCCCCAGCTCCAGATAGCGCCGCTGCCAGTCAGGGCGAGGCTGTGGTACCATGCAGCCGACACGCTCACGGCGCGCTCGTCTCCCAGCGGGGAGGGGAGGCGGGTCGGCGTGTTGAGCCGCGTCACGCCCTCGCCGTGGCCGAGCAGCCCTGGAGCGGAGGGCGGCGCTGAGCCGCACGACGAGAGCCGCCCCTCGGCGTCAATGAAGAGGCTGTGCTGACGGCCTGCCGCCGCCCTCGCCGGCGGGTTGGACTCGCGCAGCAACGCAGCGAAGCACAGCCACCGCACGGTGCAGCTCTCGCCCTCTGGCTGCGCCGGCAGCTCGAAGCCGCGCTCTTGCGCCCACAAGCGGATGGCCGCCTCCGCGAGCGAGGAGTGGAAGAGCAGCGAGACGGCCGCGACGCGAGCGATGTCGGCGGGGTCGCAGCGAGAGAGGGCGCGCAGGAGGAGGTCCGTGGGGAGGTCGAGGAGGCGGGCCGGCGGCGGCGTGTTCGGCGAGGGAGCGGCGCCGGCGGCGGCGAGGCGGCGCGAGCGGCGGCGGTGTGGGGTGGACATCGAGAGAAAAAGAGAGTAATCCCCCCGCGAGCGTGGAATAGGACCGCCGCAAGCGGCGTGGCGTGGAGCGGTTGAGCATCCCTCCGGGGGCCCCTCTGCGCCGGGGAGGCGTTGTTGGCGGCTAGGACGCAAGCGTCCGTCGCCGTTTTCAAACTCGGGGCCCACTCCGAGGTTACTTTTTGAGACTGGGAACCGAGCAAGTGCGCTCGCCGGTCCAAAGTGGGGTCGCGGGTGGCCATGCGAAGTGGTTTCGCGCACTGCCCGCTGTAGCCCCCCCGAGGCGCCGGAGCGTGACCGAGTGTCGCCCCATGACCCCCGGCGCCGGCCCGAGCGCTGAGACCGAATGTGAAGCCAATGCGCGTGCGCCCCAAGCGCGGCACTCCTCGGCTACGGCATGCTGACACGGATCCCTATCCTCTCAGATTGCTATCGATCGGCGATATTGGATCTCGCACGCGACGTCGACGACTGACAAGGTAAACGCACTTTGTCAATGTGCAGGTCGAGCTACCAACCGTTGCGGAGCGGTTCAGCCTCGGAAGCCATACTATGGTGAGGCGGGGATTAGGTGGGAGGGCATGCGCTCGCACACATGAGTCCGGGAGAGCTCCCCGCCGGCGCTTGGTGCCCCAGCCAGCTCCGCCTTGCCGCGGCCCCTACGCAGGCGTCCAGCACCGACATCGTTTGCGAGCGTCGGGTGTTGGCTACTCTCTAGCCCCGTCACCCACCGCGCCGTCACCGGCCGCTTCGCGGCGTGCGAAACGCTCGCGTCTCCGCCACCGCTGGCCACCTCCGCGTTTCCCTGCGCCGCCACCAGGGGGACGCTTGCGCCTTGCCCCCTGGCCTGACGCGCGACCCTGCGCAGACGGCGCGCTCCGGCACGGAGCAGCGACCGCCCAGGCAGTCGCTGCTCCGCCCGCGCACCGCTGCCGCCGTCGCCGCCGCCGCTCCGCCCTTTCCATCAGTGTGTCTCGTGTGTGAGAGTGTGCTGTCTGTCACGCTTGTACCTGCGAGCTGCGTCTCTCCTCCGAGGCTCAGGCTGTGTCTTCTCTCATAGATCTGTCAACGAAAACCGCTGTCGCACATCTTTGAGTCAAACTCTCTCCTGTCGGTGTCGAGGCTGTCGCGTGTCGTGTGCGCGCGGCGATTGTAACCCGGGAGGCCTGCGCAGCTTCTAACGATGCACAAAAACGGGCCACACAAATGCCGTAAAGGACAGGCGTGGGACGTGAGGAGACGCGCGGCCGACACCGCCCAGCAGCGGCTCTGCGGAGACACACACAGGAAGGCGCACGATGCGTACAGTGATCGCCTGTCATGCGCCATCACCGACGTCGGGCAGGAGAGGAGCTCCAGCCAACAGTAGTGGCGAGCCAGTTTGCGCTGCACGATGAAATAGTACTCGTGCTGACGCATCCTCGCCCGAGTCATATTCCAAATGCCCTGCGACAGCCCGCGTGCGACGGGAAGAAGAGGTGCGAGGCTGCGAAACTAAGAGCTTGATCGCGCCTCCAACGTCAGCGTCGGGCGCAGTGACGAGCTCGAGCAGCTCTCGTCGAGCAAGCTCCGCCTCCGAGCTCTCGCAGCAGCCATGCGCGTGCGCGCAGCCCAGGATCTCGCTCAGCGCCTCCGTCCTGGGGTTTGAAGCAGGTCCGCCGTAGCGCTCCACGCCTGCGCCGGCGGCGGGCGGTGTAGAAGGCCGCTCGCGATGGCTCCGTCGTGTGCGTCGACCGTCCCACCTCAAGTGGTGACTACCCTCGCTGTCGCGTGGCCGCTTGGGAGCGGCGCCGACGCTGCCGTTGAGTCTGTCCGTGGCCGCCGCGTCACTCGGCACGGAAGCCTCCTTGCCGGTGGACATGCCGGGGGGGCGTGAGGGCCTGGAGGGTGACACAGACGCGCAGGGGAGCGCGCGCCGCCGAAGTGGTTTGGCGCACACCTCGACGAGGAGGGTGGCCACCCCTCGGTTCCCAGTCTCAAAAAGTAGCCTCACTCCGCTACGCTCCGACCCGAATTTGGAGGGCCATGAAATTTAAGGTGTTGCTGCGCAAAAGGGGTGGCGCGCGGGCGCGCGCGGCGGCAGGCGTCGAGCGCGGAGCGGCAAACACAATGACGTCGGAAAGCTCTGCATCAAGTATACAGTAGGCGCCAGGACGCGTGTGAGCACGTCGACGTCGAGCTCGAGCTGCTTGAGGGCGGAGAGATACGCCTGGGAGGGCGGTGAGGTGGCGGGGCTGGGCTGGGCGCGAGGCGAGAGGAAGGGGGAATGGGGAGGGGGGGAGGGGAGGAGGAGAGGGGAGCGGGAGGGGAGGAGGGGAGGAGGGAGGGGAGAGGAGAGGCGGGCGGAGTGAGGAGTGAGGGATGGGTCGGGAGAAGTGAGGCAGGGGAGTCGAGGCGGGAGGCGGGAGGGAAGGCGGGCGGGGAGGCGGGAGGGGAGAGGTTCCGCTCACCAGCCTCTCTGCGAGCACCGCCTGCTCCAATCACCCTCTCGTGCGCGACCGCCGTCTCAAACTTCTCGCGCGCCTGCGCCTCCAGGAGGGCCGCTGCCTGCTGCAGCTGCGTCGAGTGCTCCGCGCTCAGCTGCTGCAGCTGCGCTGAGTGCGCCTCCGCCGCCGCCGCCTGCTCCTCGCGGAATCGCTCGACCAGCTGCGCCTCGATCGCAGCCTTGGCCTCCTCGACCGCCGCCGCGCTCGCCGCCTCCTGCCGTCGCATCAGCTCGACGAGCTTGGCGGCGTCCGCCTCCTCCTGGCGCTGCAGCGCTTGCTGCAGCCGCGACGTATCCGCGTCCCGCGACTGATGCGCCTTGAGCAGCTCCATCAGGTGCGTCACCTTTCCCTCCAGCTCGGACGCCGCGGTGGGAGCCGGCGGCGCGCCGTCGCAGCGCGCCGGGGCCGACGGCGAGAGCCTGTGGAGGAGCCGGTGGAGCAGTCGAGACTGCTGACCGCTCCTCCATGGTCCCCCGCCGGTGGACGCCGAGTGCAGTCATCGGTATGCGGGAGGCGTGCTCAAGGGCTGGCGGGGCGGACGCGACGACCTGGCGTTGCCGTCGCGGAGGGCTCGGGCTCGAGTGAGCGCCGCCGGCGACGCGTCGTTGCGGCCGTGGCCGCGCGGGCCACCTGCATCGACGGGCTGCTTAGGGGGGGGGGGGGGGGTTCAATTGTACGAATGTCTTGGCACCAGCTGATGGCTTGGGTCCCAGATCACGCAGTTTGTGCACGGTATTCGGATTTTGCTATTTGCTCGTGTGGGGGTATATCGCAGATTTGTCAATGGTACCGCGTCTGCGACGCGGGCGCCTTGCGGGCAGAGCCCTTAGCCACCCTTTTATCTTGCGCGGTCAAAAGAGACGCTGCCAGCGGAGAGCGGAGAGCGAGCGGCGTTTTGTTGGTGTTTTGCCTTGAAAGAAGAATGACGCCCGCGCCCTCAGCGGAGCTGGGAATAGGACCGCCGCAAGCGGCGTGGCGTGCCTTGAGAAAAGAAGAGGAGGCAGGCCCGGACTCCTAGCCGGATAGGGGGTCTGTCCACACTGGCTGGCCCCTCCCAGATAGGTAGGTAGGTTGGTCTTGTTTCGCCCAAAAGGGCCCTGCAATAGGTAGGTACCCCCTATTTTCATCTTTTTTCGCTTCGCTGCGCGGCCTGGGCGCTGGGGATAGGTAGGTAGGTAGGGCGTTTTGGCGCGAGTCAGTGTGCACAGACCCCCTATCCGGCTAGGAGCCGGAACCCAGGCGCATACAAAACAAGAACACAACGAAATCTCTCACATGACAAGCGATCCCACGACAGCGATTGTGGGGACTACATGATTACAGGAAGGGTGGAGGGGCCCGTCTGCAGAGCTAGGCGGCGCGGGCACCCACACACTCCCACCCCACCACCCAGAGCTCCTGTGCCACTAGCCGCCTCGCTTCTGCGTCTGGAATGGATGCCACCCTCCAAAATCCCATCGGGTCGCTTCTCATCGCAAACCCTGTCAGCAGAGTCCTCCTGCGGGAATGTACGTAAGAGCCACACCTTTTCTCCCAGTTGTATGTACTTTTAGCTTACTGGGAGAAAAGAGAGAGAGGGGGTTGTGTTCTCTAGGCCCCTAAGGGCCCTACGCGCGGCGTGAGAGCTCGGAAGCGAGCTTTCAGTTGTAAGCTAAAAAAGTACGTACACTGAAAAAGAAATCCTGCTTTGCGTGCAGGTGGGGGCCCCTGTCCTCCTCCCCGCCCTCGTTTAGGCTTGTTATCTTTCGGTTTCTTTCTTACCTCGCGGCCGTGTCCCACTCTCGTTTGAAGGTGGGAAGTTAGGGAAGGTGGAGTAGAGCCGAAGAAAGAAAACAGATAACCTTTGTGCTTTGACCGTGCACGCCATCGTCCAGTGTCAGCCATCGCCCAGAGAGCAGAGTCAGCCATCGGCCAATGGAGCATTTTAGTCTGGGCCACGTCCCAACGCTATATTCATATTCAGCTCCGCGCGGCGATCCAGCTCTACAAATGTACAAAAGAGTGGCCATCGTGCTGGTGTAACTGTCTACCGAAAGTTGCAACGATTCCGATGTCATCAGGCGAAGAGGACTGAAACTCGTCATTTTTGTCCGGTCCTCATGTTGTCGAAAACTACAGCACAGTAATCCGCGGTACGGCTTTATGGGTAGTCCTTAGTGCCCTCTCCTCTGATTACACACGCATAAATATACGCGTACGGTGCATGCACCAAACCGACATTCACATGTGCATGCACATGTGTGCAGTCCATAAGTTTCTCATGCAGCCACGCAGTAGTGGCGTGCGACAGTCATGTGAGTCATGCTGACACTGCCCCCTCGAACGAGGCTCTCGCTCTCCTTGCGCCGCGCCCCTCTGGCGTGTAGTCGCTCACGTCGGCATACCATTCCATGAACACATGACGCATGCGGCCAACGAGCGGCGTCAGGCGGCGCAGACGTTGCCACGCCAGGCGTGAGGGCATCGACGCCCTCAGCGAAGCGATCAGCTCCGATTTTCTAGGCATCGTCTCCCCGCGTTCCATGGCGGCTCCTGAGCAGTGGTCCTGATAATGGTGCTCTTCATTCAATTCCTCAGCGGCAGCCAGCAGCAAAGTACTAGGCCGCGCTGCAGCCGCCAGCAGCACGCTGACCAGTTGCCAGTCTCCGTAGACGGCCTGCCTCAGAGCGCATACTCGCATCGTCATGTGAGCCAAGTGAATCACGACGTTTGGGTCCGCCCCGGCGTCGAGTATCGCCTGCACGCAGGCGCGGTGCTGGAACTCGCCACTCGCTCGATCAAAGATAGCGGTGTGAGCGCGCTCAGCAGCGCTGCCTTCGACTGCAAGGTAAAGTGGATTCTCCCTCGCCGTGGTCGAGTTCAGCAGTGCAGCGGGTGGCGGCGGATCAAGCAGGTCGCGCACCTGCTCCAGGTGGCCCCGCCAAGCTTGAGTGCACAAAGCCTGGAACCTAGCGTCCATGGACAGATGATAGGCTAGGACGATGACAGGTCGGACACGAATCGGACCGACTCGACTCGTCTCCTTCGTTCGGCTCACTCATCAAGCATGCTGTGAACAGTGGGTCCGGGGTTGTGTTTTTGTGTTTGTAGGTGTATTCTTGGCAAACAAGACACAGAGCTCATCACACAGAATCACAGCGGGAGGAAAGCGGCGAGTCGCAATTCCTGGGGTCCTTGTGGCGGGCCACCCTGTCCAGAGGCGGAGGTGCCTTTCTGGGATCTTTCGATCGAGTCCTATCTATGCGTCCTCGGCCACGCGCTCTCCTTTCGTGGCTGATAAGCATTCGCAGACCAGGCGATGGAGATGGCGGGGAGCACGGATGTGACTGCTCACCAAGGCCGAGGACTGGTAGCACGACTCGCACCGACCCTTCACGAACCGAAAGGCCGTGCCCGGCGTGCAAGGGGCAGGGTAATCCGGCACGTGTTGGGCGCCCCATTCCGTTTAGGGCTAGGTCGGCTCAGGGCCCCGTCCACCTCCCTCCCACTTGGCGCGTGATGATAATTGTGTGAACAGTGGCGCACCTCTCCGGCTCCTCACCGCGGTGCCGGCGCCCGGAGACTATTCACACATTGCTCGATGGCATTTTTTGCTTCGCTGCGTGAGCTCCGCATAGTCACTAGGTGGGTAGGTGGGGCGTTTTGGCGCGACTCAGCAGACCCCCTATCTGGGTACCTGGTAGGAGCCGGAACCCTGCGACGAAGGACTGGGTGGTGGATTAGTGGTATGGCTGTGCTTCTCTGCACACGCGCCAGCGCCGTGCTGCTGCTCGGGTGGCCGGTGCGCGCAGCACCAGTTGCCGACGAGGAGCTGACGGCTGCACAGTGGCTGCGCGAGCAGCAGATGCGTGGCCTACAGGGGCTGCGGGCCGAGCAGCAGGGTGCGATGCTGAGCGACCTCTCGATGCTGCAGGGCGCGCCGTCAGACGCGGCGCCGTTGGCGACGCAGCGTGCCTATCTGGACATGGCCATCGGCGGAGCGCCCGCTGGGCGGCTCGTCTTCGACCTCTTTGGGGACGTCGCGCCTCGCACAGTTCGAAACTTCGCCTCTCTGGTTCAGGGCGAGCCGGCGGCCGATGGCGGGAAGCGTTCGCTGCGCGGCTCCAGGCTGCACCGCATCATCGGCAGCTTCATGGCGCAGGGAGGGGATTACGATGGGCGCGGCGGCGACAGCTTGTGGGGAGGGACGTTTGCAGACGAGTCGTTTGCGCTCAAGCACAGCGCGGCGGGCACGCTGTCGATGGCTAATTATGGCAAGGACACGAACAAGGCGCAATTTTTCGTCACATTCAAGGCGACACCGCACCTGGATGGCAAGCACGTCGTGTTTGGCCGGCTGCAGTCGGGGTTCGAGGCGCTCAAAAAGGTGGAGGCGGTCGGCTCGCGCTCGGGCAAGCCGACGGCAGACGTCGTGATCCAGGACTGCGGGATTTTGCCACCACCCGACTGACCCAGGGTGTTACTCTCCAGATGTATGAATGTATTATTGTAACTATTCGTGCGCGTGTCCGTGTGGCTGTGCCGTGGCGAGCGCGAGGGCGCGGTACGGCTACGGGGGCGCCGTGAACGAGGCTCGAGGGTTAAAAAAACATTATAAATAAAAAAACATACATTATCATTTTACATGAGGTTTATTTAATAAAATTATGTATGTAAAGAGTGAATGCAGAAGATCGGACAGGGGAGGGACGCGGCCAGAAAGAGGGCGGGCGCCGAGGTTCGAAAGCCGGCGCTTTCGCGCGTTCGAAGGGGCTTTGCTCGGAGTTTGTGCGAAATTTGCGGTTGTACCAACCAACAACTGTGCATCTCTCTCTCTTAAAGGCGGGCTGCCCTTTTTATAAGCGGTAGAGCTCCTATACCGCGAGAGTAGTCCAGTTCACCGCGTTTTCCGTCTCACAGACACAGTGACACAGTACGCTGGTTACTGATCTCAGTACGTAATCAAGAACACGGCCCACACAGTGCGGATTGTGAATGCCTAAGTCTAAGACGTAAGACTAAGAGCCGTCGGTGGCCAGCTTCCCAGCTAGAGCGGTGAGCGCGCTGACGTCTGTGCTGCGCGGCTCACACAAGTGTGACTCACGACACAGGAGCAGGTCAAAGCCCAAAGACGCCGTCGAAGAGCGCCTCGCGTACCCCCGCGGAGCCGGGCGCTGGCAGGAACAGGTGCTGGCAGCCGCTCTCGACCGCCGCCATGTCGTCGTACCCGTCACGGCGCGAGTCGCCTTCGCCGGCCGAGGCGGCGAGGATCACGTGCAGCAGGTCGGTCGGCAGCGAGGCGAGGGCGGCCATGCTGGAGGGGAGGGTGGTGCGCTGCCGGAGCGCACAGCAGAGCACCGCAAAGACGCGCACCTGGAAGGACGGCTGGAAGAAGTGGTGCCTCTCGGGCGTCCAGAGCCGCGCAAAGCGGCGGAACGAGACGCCGCACCAGACGACGCGCTCGTACGGCTCGAAGCTGCGCCAGGGCGGGGGCTGCGGCGCCTCCGCAGGCACGTAGAGGAAGTCGAGCCGGTCCAGCATGCGCGCTGCTCGGGCCCTGTTGATGAACTCGGTGTAGGTGGGCCGCGGGAGCGGTATCAGCTTGTTTTTGCGCGGGTCGCCAGAGTACGGCACGCCGCTGTCTCGCATGGCGACATAGTCGGCCGCCGCGAATGGGAACTCCCTGTTCGATGCCTTTGACCCGCCGGCGCCCCGGCCGTACTCCTTCCCGTTCGCGTGGACGATGAGGAGCCTGCCAGTGGGTCTGGGCAGAGGAGCGCGCCGAGCAGCAGGGGAACCCGAGGCCGGCGCGGCGGCGGCCGGAGCCGACCTCGGCCGGAGCGTGCGCTGCGCCGTCGGTGCGCGCATCGCGGCAGCGGCGAGCACTCCGAAGCGCGTTCGCTTTGTTTTTAGGATCCTTTTTTCGCACAGAGGGCACGCGAGGTACGACCGTGCCCGGCCGTGCTATTAAAGCGACTCGGCTCTCTAAAAGGCTGCAGCCCAGAGCCACACGGAGTCTACGCGCATCGCTTGTGCATAGCCTCGACCAATCTCCTGTTCACGGTGGAACCGTGAACAAAGAGCTTCTTCGAACCGTTACAAACACGACGCGAGCCGCCCAGCAGGGAGCCTGGGCGACTCGCTTTGGCGCTGGCCAGGCCGGAGGCGAGTGCCGCCGCCAGGCCACGACCGACCGCGCCCGTCCTACGGACGGGCGCAATGGGCCAAACTGCAGGCTGCGCCGCCAAACTGCAGTGCGTGCAGCGCTGCGCCGCCAGTCCAATACATGCAAACTGCAGGCTTTGCAGCGAGGACCAGCCTGCTCAGCTTAGAACGAGGAGCCAGCAGCCAACAGGAGGACAGCAGTCGTCCACGCCAGCTGGAATGCGAGGACCGCCCCAGCCGCAGGTGGCCCCATACGTAATGCTTTGCGCAAAGCACCGAGCAAAAATGGCGCCTTTACATGGCCATGCAGCAAGCAGTGCCGCCAGATGAGCACACGGCCATGGGCGAAGTGCACCCGCAGGGCCAGCTGGCATTGCGTGGTGCACTCGCAAATCAACCCGCCCTCTCGCGCCAAGGACGGCGCGAGGGGAGCGCGAGCATCCACCAGCAGCCGTCGCTGCTGCGACTCGAATGCTTCAAACGCGCACCTGTGCTTGCGCACGGCGTGCTCTACACGAGCCTCCCGGCCGCACGAGCGTGCGGGCGGCTCGAATCCACCCTTCCCCCGCCCTAGCCACTGTTGGCTGGGCTGCGGGCGCCGTCCGCCTTGCGGCGGCGGCGACACTTGCAACACGAGCACACCTCGCTTCGGTGTGCTCGACCCTTCACAACGGGCCGCCCGCAAGGACGCGTGTGCGGCCCTCTCTACTCGACCTGTGCCACGGCACGGGTCGTTCTAGTCATGCAGCCGCCCCGGCGATCGTGCTCGGGGCGTCTCTCAGCACTCACCGCGCGAGATGCGTGGCGTGCCACAAACCAGTAAGCAGCAGCCTCCGCTGCTGCGACTCGAATGCTTCAAACGCGCACCTGTGCTTGCGCACGGCGTGCTCTACACGAGCCTCCCTACCGCACGAGCGTGCGGGCGGCTCGAATCCACCCTTCCCCCGCCCTAGCCACTGTTGGCTGGGCTGCGGGCGCCGTCCGCCTTGCGGCGGCGGCGACACTCGCAACACGAGCACACCTCGCTTCGGTGTGCTCGACCCTTCACAACGGGCCGCCCGCAAGGACGCGTGTGCGGCCCTCTCTACTCGACCTGTGCCACGGCACGGGTGTTTCTAGTCATGCAGCCGCCCCGGCGATCGTGCTCGGGGCGTCTCTCAGCATGGGGATGCGCACAGTCAATATATGTCAATGCGCGCCGCGCGAGCGAGTCTCTAAAGACTCGGTCGCGAACTTTCCGAGAAGGAAGACAAGTGGGGCGGCGGCGTCGATAGATATCGACGCCGCCGTCGCCGCGCATCATGACGAGTTCGCATTCCCCATGTGACCCTCTATACCTCACCTTCGAGACAAGCCAGGGGGTTCAACCCAATGGACCTAGTGTGGCGTCGAGGCCCGCACTGTCTGGACATGCGGGCCGCGGCTGACAGAACGGCGGGCTAGGCATTGAGAGCCCAGGAGTTTTAATAGCGTCTGCGATCGCGGACTTTTAGGCGCTCGGGAAAGAATTTCCCGCGGCTCGAGACCTCGAGAGACATGTGTGGTGGCCGAGAGATCGCCACGGTTCGCACACCGCCCTGCCCAGTCTCTTGGCATGGACGACGCAGCTCTCGCTGCACTCCTCGCCAAGGCGGATTCAGCCTTGGCTTCAGTAGCCACGGTGACGTCCGTCGCCGCTTCCGCGCCGCCGCCCGCCGCCGCGCCGGTGGCTGCGCCTGCTCCGCCGCCTGCCGCGGCCGCGCCCGAGCCGGTGACACAGCAAAAGCCTGTGATGCAGAAGCTTCTCATCCTGTACGGCACGCAGACCGGCAACAGCCGCGGCGTCGCCAAGGAGCTCGGCGCCGAGGCGGCGGCGCACGGCTTTGAGGCGCGCGTGCTGGGCATGGAGAAGTGGAAGGAGCTCGACTTTGAGCAGGACAAGACGCCGCTCGTGCTCGTCAGCTCGTCCACGGGCAACGGCGACGCGCCAGACAACGCCGACAAGTTTTACCGCTTTGCCAAGAAGCGGAGCACGCCGCCCGTCTTCAAGGGCGTCCCGTTTGCGGTGTGCGCGCTCGGCGACTCAAACTACGAGCAGTTCTGCGAGGCGCGGCCTCCGAGAGGACCCGACTCGAGATTGCAGTCCTGCGAGGGGCGGACGCTCGGCCCTCGCCCTCACCCGGCCACCTGCGCCCCGCAGGTCGGCCGCCAGTTTGACCAGCACCTGGAGCGGCTGGGAGGCAACCGCTTCCTCAAGCGGTGCGATGTCGACGAGGCGGGCGGCGTCGAGGCCTCCCACCCCGCGGGGACGTTCTTGGAGCCGTCCCCGCACCCTCCTTCGTAGGTGGACGGCATCGAGGCGCACGTCCACCCGTGGGCAGAGAAGCTCTGGCCGGCACTCAAGGCCTCCCGCCAGATGCCACCCTCCGCACGCACGCCTCCTCTCCTCCTCTCGCGGCGCGGATGGCCGCGCTGTGCGAAGCCGCCTCCTCACCGCCCGACCGCCCCCACCTCGCCCAGGCGCTCAAGCAGGTTGCGCCCGCCCAAGCGAACCGCGGCGCGGAGCAGGCGGCAGAGGCGGCGCCGGCAAAGGCAGCGGCAAAGGGCGCCGCGCCGGCGGCGGCGCCGGCGGTGGCGCCGCTGCGCTCGCTGACGGTGTTTCACAGCGGCGGGCTCACCGAGGAGATTGCGGAGCTCATCAAGGCGGAGGCTGCCGCCGCGAGCCCGGCGGCGAGCGTGCGGCTGCTCGCCATGGCAAAGTTCAAGCCATGGCTGGCGGAGCTGGACGCGGCCGCGGCGTCCGCGCCGCAGCACGCCGTCTTCCTTTGCCAGACGGTCGAGAGCGAGCACGCGGAAGCTGGACGGGGCCCGAGCGGTGAGGCCGACAGCCCCCATCCCTTAGGTCGAGAACGAGCAGCCGCCCGAGGAGGCGGGCCCGTGCGTGCGCTTCCTGCAGCGGCGGACGCACGCCGCCGGCATGTTGGCGGGCAAGCTGCACTTCGCCGTCCTCGGGCCCGCGGCGACTCGGACCGGCTCCTCGACGCGGGGAATGATGAGAGGAGCTGAGAAGGAATGAGTTAGGCTCGGCGACTCGAATCTGCTCCTCGACCGGCAGACGACCGCGGCCAAGGATTGCAACCAGGTGGCGCAGGCGGTCGACAGGCACGCCTCGCCCACCTCGGCGCAGATCCGGTTGCTACCCAAGGCCGATGAGTGGACACGTACTCAACAGGCGGCTCTCGGAGCTCGGCGCCGACCGCTTCCACCCGCGCGGAGAGGCGGACGACCGCACCGGCAACCAGGAGGTGCAGCCGTGGCTGGCAGCCCTCCGCGCATCGCTCGCCGCCGCCGCCGCCGCCGCTGCAAACGGAGGCAACGGCGGGCGCTCGACGACGGCGAACGGAACCAACGGAACCAACGGCGCCAACGGCGCCAACAATTCCAACGGTTCCAACGGCGCGCGCTCCGCCGAGCCGGACCCGGACGCGGGTGCCGGCCCGGAGAAGCCGCTGCTGGCGAGGATTGTGGCTGCGCGCTGGCTGACGGCGTCGACCGAGTCGCCGACGGCGGGCGGGCGGGCGGGCTGGCAGAGCGGTGCCGCCGCGACTGCCGCCGCCGCTGTGCGGCGAGTGCTCCACCTCGAGCTGGACGTGAGCGCGCTGCCGGCGGGCTGCGCTCTCGAGCCGGGCGACGCGCTGGCGGTGGTGCCGCAGAACGACCCGACCGACGTCAAGGAGCTGCTGCCGCAGCTGGGCGTGCGCGCCAAGCAGGCGGACACGCCGCTGCAGCTTCCCGACGGCTTCGACGCGCCGATGCACTTGGGCGGTGAGCGCACCACCGCGCTCCTCAGCAAGAGTAGTTCATTCGCACGCGGCCGATGTCCCTTGAACTTGTCGGCTCATCAGGCGAGCTCACTCCGCGCACCGCGCTGCTCGAGCGCGTCGACATCGGCTCGACCTCGTCGTGGCCCTCGCCGGCGCTGCTGCGGCTGCTGCTCAAGCACGGCGAGCCCGCCACCAGCCAGCCACCACCCATCCGTGTCTGTGCGAGCGGGCCAACCACTCGACCCTCATTCCTCCCGCAGGCGAGCCGGCCAATGCGGACGCCCCGCGGCTCGCGCTCGTGCGGCGCGCCACCGCGCAGGCTGCAGCGCGGCGCACGCGCGCGAGGGGAGATGCCGCGAGCTCACCCGAGGGGTGCGCGCGAGGTGTAGGCCGCGGGCGGCGACGCGGCTGCTGCGCGCGCGGCGCACGCGAGCTTGGTGAGGGAGCGGCCCCCGTTGCTGCAGCTGTTGCGCCAGCTGGCCTCGCGCCCGCCTCTCGTGGACCTGCTCGACGCGCTGCCGCCTCTCGCGCCGCGTTGGTACTCGCTCGCGTCGTCGCCGCTCGCCAGCCCAGGCCGCGCCCATTTGTGCGTGTCGATTGCAGCCTACACCGCCACCGACGCCGCCGGCACGCGCCACTTGCGCCGCGGCGTCGCTTCGCACTTCCTCGAGCGCACCGCGGCGCCGCTGCTCAAGGCCGGCGGCGCCGAGGAGGCTGCGGCCGCCGTTCCGGTCTTTTGGCGCGAGCCGAGCGGCCACGAGCTGCGTCTCCCTCCCTCGCCCGCGACGCCGGTCGTCGTCATCGGGCCGGGCACCGGGCTCGCGCCGTTCCGCGCCTTCCTGCAGCACCGCCGTTTCGCGCACGCCCGCAAGCGGTCCGGCCGCGCTTCGTCCGCTTCGGCTGCCTGCGAGCCGCGCCTTTTCACGCTTCCAGCCGTGAACAGGCTCGGGCCGTGTGTGGTCTATTTCGGCTGCCGTTCCCGCGCAGACGACTTTCTGTACGGCGAGGAGCTCGAGCCGATGCATGCGGCGGGCGCACCCCGCTGGCACACCGTCCGGCGGGTGAGAGAGTGAGCCGAGCCGGTGCTCTCCTCAGGCGGGGGCAATCACGCTGCGCACCGCCTTTTCGCGCGAGGCCCCCCCCGCCACGGCGGGCTACTGGCGCGGCTTGCGCCTGAATGTCGACTACGTGCAGGACTTGCTCGAGGAGGACGGGCAGCGCGTCGCGCAGCTGCTGCTCGAGCAGGCGAGCGGCTTGCATCCCCCCGACCCCAGCCTTGGCCCTCTGCCCGAGTCCTGACCCCGACCCTGGCCCCGACCCACCCCCGACCCCGGCCCCACCGCCCGAGCAGGCGGGCCACCTCTACGTCTGCGGCGACGGCCAATCGATGGCCTCCGACGTGCACGCCGCGCTGCGCCGCATCGTCGAGGCCCCGCCCCGCCCCTCTTGCACGGCCGCGTGGGCCCTTCTTGCACCCCTTGTGCACCTGCCCACAGGCCCACCTCTCCGTCTCGCCGGCGGAGGCCGAGGAGCGGCTGCAGGGCCTCGCCCAGGAGGGGCGCTACTGCCGCGAGATCTGGAACTGAGCAGCCTCGCGGCAGTCGGGGCCCCCAGCGGCGCGCACTCGCAGCGATATGACGACTGCAGGTGAGGGGTGGGGATGGGTCGAGGGGGAGGGAAGGCGGTGGGGTTCGGAGGGGGAAAGTGGGAGGAGGGCGGGCGGGGGGGGGGGGGGGGGGGCTGGCGGGGGCCCCGGGCCTTTGGTCTGGGGGTTATTAAGGGGGGGGGGGGCAGGTGGGGAAGGGGCCCCGGAAAGGGGGGGGCCGGGGGGGGGGGGGGGAATTTTGGGCAAAAAAAAATGAATTTTATTCCCCCCCCCGGACCCAAAAAAAGTGGGTTAGCCGTAAACACCCGGGGCCCCAACCAAAAATTTTTGGCCCGGGGGGAATTTCCGAAGAAATTTTTTAAAAAAAAAAAAAAAAGGCCCCGTTCCACGAGTTGCCCCTAGGGGGTTTACCGGGGACTTTGGGGGGGGGAATTGGAGGGG